CCACCCACCCATCCATCCATCCATCCATCCTTGTTAATAGTGCAAATCTAATGTAGCTGTGTGAATGTGAAGCTTTCTTTTTTTCTCTCAACACATTAGCAGAGATGCCAACTGAATTCTATTTCCAGAAAAATGCTTTTGTGGTTGAGTAAATTAAGAAAAAAAAAAGCTTTATTTTTTTCCCCCTTTCTTTTTCAATTTCCTTCCTTTCTCTTAAAATCCCCGGAAGAAAAATGCCTTTCACTTATATCCGCAAATATCAGTTGCTACTGACAACCAAAAAAAATAAACTCTTGCCAACTACTGCTGAAATTTATTGTATCCTCTCTCCCCTTTGCAACTGGGACGGTCTGTGTGGTTCTCTCCACTTGATGACCCTAGCTAAAGCAATAAGCAGTGGTGCTTATTTAAATATTCCTTTCATATTTTCTTTTATCTTTGAGGGGAAAAAAAGTAACAACTCTGATGTGCCTGTGTGTGTATGTGTATGTGAGTGTATGTGTGCGTGTGTGTATTGATTCTTGCTATGCATTTAAAAACTATTCTGGCCACTTTCATTGCCATTCATTACACATTGCTCAAATAACTAATGAGTCAATTAACTCCAGTTAGACTTTGCTAATTGGGTCATGATCAGGTTTTCACAGCTTAAGTTGTGAAAACTTCATCATGTCCCAATTAGCAAGGCCTATTCCATGAGCCCCAGCTAGGCTGGAAATCAATAGCTTAATTTCAGTATTTTAGTTGTGCTTGGAGAAGAGCAATATATTTTTGAAAATGTACCGGCCTTACCAAAGAAAGTGGTTTGTTCACTGGGCCTCCCTTCATTTCTTCTTTTGCTGTTCATCAGGAGAGAAATTAAGGCAGCGAAATGGCATTGTGTACCAAGAAGTTTTCCTGATGGTTTGTGGAGTGCCAAGATTGGCAGCAGCAAATCCACAGAAAATTAAAAAAAAACAAATTACAGGCAGAATCTGAAAAGTAATCCTCAGCCTTTAATTATTCTCCAGTAATATAGGTAGTCCTTGACTTAAAGCAGATCACTTGGACACTGTTCTGTTACAATGAACTTCCCAGGGAACCGATTTTGGGGTGCTTGACAAATAAATGCTGGGGTTTTTTTGTGTGCGTGTGCAAAACCTGTCATAAATCACAGCTGTGTGAACATAAAATAGAATAACAGAATTGGAAGGGACTTTGGAGGTCTTCTAGCCCAAGCCCCTGCTCATATACGATGCTGCAAACCACCATAAATGTAGGCTGATGGCTCAGCATCTGCTATGCAGCCATATAACATACCAGTCGTCAGAGCTTCAGGTTGTAAGCGCCCCTAGGAGAGCGGTCCCCAACTTTCCTAACTTGGGGGCCAGGCCCGGCGGGGGGAGAGGGTGCGTGAGTGGCAGGCACATGGCGTGTGCACAGCTCCAATTGTGAGTAGAGTAGAAAGAATGTGTGTGTGTGCAGTAGAGCACCAGGACCTTCAGTCACAAGGCAAAGGAAGGGTTGCCACATATTTGATTCATCATTCCCGTCTCACCTGGCAAATGCTGTGCCATATGTGATCCCAGGAGAAGCAATTGTTGCTGTTTGCAAACCCTCCACTTTAAACACCAAGAATATTTGTCATCCAGACTTAAACCACAACATGAGTTGGTTGGTTGGGTGTCCCATTAACAGGACGATGTAAATGAAGATTCATCTATGGAGATTCTCAGCGACATCCAGATCCCGGTTGTCCCAAAGGTGCTTTTGCCAAGAGGCAACCGGACCTTCTGGTTCTTCTTTGAAGACGTTTCTGAAGAAGAAGAGCTGAAGAAGCTTCTTGGATGAGAAGCGAAACATCTTCAAAGAAGAACCAGAAAGTCCAGTTGTCTCTTGGAAAAAGCACCTTTGGGATCAAATAAAGATTCAGTCATCCAGGCCAAAAGTATCTTAAAAAGTAAAATCATGGCAACCGGACCAACATTTATGAAAACTGAGCGGTTTTGTTAACTTATCCAAGTTAACTTCTTCAGTCAGAATGAAAATAACAGGACAAACACAGACTTCTTCAGAGCTGAAGAAGCTTCTTGGATGAGAAGCGAAATGTCTTCAAAGAAAAACAAAGCGAGCAACCAAGACCTGGATGACTGAGAATCTCCATAGACTAATGGAAATTTTATGCGGCATGAGATGAGATGACATGCCCAAAGCCAGAGGTATGTAGTTTATACATTTCCTAAAGACAATTGCAGAGAGCATATTTATCATATTGTTTTTCCTGTGCCCAAAATTTAATTCCCCCCCCCTTTTTTTTTCAATAACTCCTGGCGGAAACGCAGGACCCATGTCCAATAATAAGGTTTCAAATGTCCCCAAGATACACAATGACATTAGCCAGAAATCCTGTTGTGTTGGGATGCTTGGAATAGAACAGTTAAATCAGAAATACCTCCTACCGCACAGCCCATGACGATACACAAGTATTTCACATACAAAGGTCGCATTCAGAAGGAATTTCCTGGGTCAAAAGCGGGTTGCAACCTACAAATTCATTATCTGTAGGATATTTTTCCCCGCTTTCCCTCACATTTGCATAAAACGTATGAAAAAAAAAAATAACGCAGGAAACTAACTTGTGCAATCATAAGCTAGAACTAAAGAAACATTATTAAAAGGCTAATCAGATCAAACCAGAGAAAAATTACGTGAGTGTAAAAAAAAAGAGAAACTCAGTAAGAAAAGGACAAAGAAATCCTATTTAGACAAACAAGAGTGTAAACTTTGCTATTGCTTTCCACTGCCAATTGAACATAAGCTATAGACACAAATACAACATGTGAGCCCAAAGAACAAGGAGAAGGAAATTGCCCTCCTATACATGTTGATGGCTTCCAATTTCCAGCTATCTAGGGGATAAGCTCAGTGCCAAATAATTGTTGGTAATCATAGCTCAGTGACATTTTGGAAAGTCAAATTCCCCCCCCCCCCATTAAGTTTGCAAATCCTATCGAGTGGCTCTCCCACTTAAAGACTACTACAACCTTGTTTAACAAATAAACAACATTCCAGGAGCCTCTACAAATCATAGCTTTCCAGCCAAGATCAGTGGAAGGCAAAAGTAGACGTTGTTTGTCTTGTAAATTATTCTAGTTGTTCCTTGTGGTGAAAAAAAAGGAGGCGATAGGGAACTTTTTGAATGAGATGAAATTTTTGTCTAAGAGAGTTGCTCCTAAGTTTTTTTTTCTTCCCCTCTTTAAAGTATGAACTGAATCGGCTGATTAAATTAAAATACAAGCTTTTAGACGCACTACAAACAGTTCCAAAACATTATTAACAAACATCCAGAGTAACAGGTCTACTGTCTGCTCCTAACATACAGAGAACTTTTAACTTTGCAAGAGAAAACCGTACCGTCCACATTCTTCTTCCCTCCGGTTACTACCAAGGTGTATTTTGACATTGCAATTACAAACTGAGCAATCACATTTTATAACGTTCCAAAGTTCTTAATACCACCCTCCCAAAAAGTGGATAATGTTTAACATTTTGGCTGGTCTGTGCTCTACCAGGATTGCATCACAGAACAAATAAAACTCATCTGAATAATTCTCACTACCCACCCCAGGCAGGACTTCACAGAAAGCTTGCATTCGGATGCAAATCAAAACCAGCAGGATTTCCGGAGATATCCCCTGGCCACAAAAATGTATAAGACACACAGAGGGGGAAAGAAAAGGGCTTCTCAAGATTCCCTCTCCTGTTATAACTCCCCACAAAGGCAGGGAATTTCCACTGCAGTTAAGCTTGTAGTAACTCAGAAGCCGTTTGTACTCACGCTTCGGAAGTTTGTCCAGCCGTTTCTTGGGTCCTTTCCAAAGCAGGGGTGATGAACGCTTGATGCAAATCCTTCTGTCCGTCTGAAGTACCGACCGGGGCCTTTGGTGGTCAGAAGATTTCACGGGGCAGAATATCAGCTGCTCACATTCTTTTTTTAGGCCGTGTCTCATGGTGGCTCCTCTTTTAGGGACCTCCCCTTTCCACGGGGGCCGGGAGGGAGGTGTGTTTCCCAGCCGTGCCTGTGTGCAAATCCTCTTTCGGAGCGCAAATAAAAGATAAGGGAGAGCACAATCCCAGCTGCTCAACTTAATGACCAGAATTGAGCCCCAAATGTACGTTGCTGAGTGAGAAATCTGTTAAGCGAGTTTTGCCCCGTTTTACGACTTGTTCTCGCCGCCCCTCTTGTTATGGGAATGGGCACAGCTCTCAAATTAGCAACGCAACCGGTTATTCAGTGAATCTGGTTTCCCCCCGTTTGCCGCCAAAGGGGATGGCGTGACTCGGGGACACTCCCAACCGTCATAAATGCAAAATCACGTAACCACGGGTCGTAAGTGTGGGGAAATGGCCGTAGGTCCACTTTTACAGTGCCGTTGTAACTTTGAACAGTCACTAAATGAACTTGTAAGTGGAGGACTGCCTATATAAGAAGAGTCTTTTATTATTATAAAAAAGTTTTTATTTTTTTAATTATTTAAATACATCTTTGAGAGAACAGTGTGGTTTCCAGATGTTTTACATTTCAAATCAGTCATAAATACAGCTTTCTGACATCACATCATTATCTATTACCACATTTTCTTCTAGATATTCTCATAAATTACTCCTTTCTTTATTTTAATCAATCTCTATCTTCCTTGATCATATATTCTTATGTTCAACGTGTTTCCAGTGTGATCTATTCACATCATTTCATTGATCATTCAAAATTTCATCTTAATTTTTATTATCCCCTATTAAATCCCCTTTTCAATATTACGTTTGCCACTGTTACGTATGTTTTTTATTTTCTATGCGCTCCCTTCTTTCTAACTCATTTTTACACAAATACATTTCCCATCTTAATTTTCTTTGAGCCACTAATGTCAAACTTACGACCATATATCCTCATTACCTTATACAAATGAATAACAAAATATATAATTCATTAGATTATATCTACAGTCACACTACAACTTTCCAATATCACATCATTATCTACTACCAAGTTTTCTTATAAGAAGAGTTTTGACACATCACTTTCACAGACCTGTTGTTCTCTCATTCCTGGGTGGGATATTGTTTGACGTTTTCAATACATTCTGCTTGAATTATTCAAATATTCTGCTTGATGAAGTGCCATCATAAACTAGGTACGGTTCAAGAATTTGCAGAGGACAAGGAAAGACTTTCTTTTCTTTGAAACAATCTCTTGGGAGGGGGGAAAAAAAAAAAAGATGAGAAAACGCTAAGACCTTCTGTGTCCCACAGTATCCTGAACAGGAAGAAAGATTAATTCAGCCTTTGCTGATGTAGGCAGCTTAGGAGTAAATGCCAGGTCACTGCTTCTCTGCAGCTTCCTTATCGACAGCATGAGCCTATTCATCCTAAATGTCGACTCCCAGACACCAGAGAAAGAACGGCTTTAAATATATATATATATATTCTGCACCCACCAATTGAGTCCTGCCTGGACTTGGCGAGCCGACGGCTGGGTTTCACCTTATTTTTAAAACCTATCTAACCTGCTTACGCGTTAAGAAGGGATTCCTAAGCATTGTTAGTGGCTTTGCTTTTACGCCTTTCGTTGTGCAAAGCGGTTTTGCCACTCAGGCCTCACGTTTTGTTCCGTGTTTTCTCCTTCCCAAGGATTTCCTCCTCCTGATGCCGCCACCTCTTCATGACTGAGGAGCTGGAAACAGCTCGAGGAGTCCTGCCTTGGTTTCATCCTTCAACATGACCAACCCCCAGTGAGTACATAGACGCTTGAATAAGAACGCCTTGGTTTGCTTTGTCTACAGGGTGTTGTTCTGTTTGGTGTTAAAAAAAAGGCACCCGGCAATGAATGAAGTCTCTCTTGGTCAGGAAAGTTGGAGGTTGCAGTAGTAGAAAACTTTCAGTGGTATGGATAACCTGTAAAACCTCCCCGTTTCCTTCCCAGCTTTAATTTGACATAAGAGCTTTCATTTTAAAAAAAACACCCTCTTTCTACCATCATTTCTTCCTTGGTATAATGGCTTTGTTTAGCTTTGGGTTCCTGTCTCTGTGTGTGTGTGTGTGTGTGTGTGTGTGTGTGTCTGTCTATCTATCTATCTATCTATCTATCTATCTATCTATCTATCTATCTATCTATCTATCATCTATCTATCTATTATCTATCTATCATCTATCTATCTATCTATCAT